TTAAAATTACAATACTTATTTGTGGAAAGCAACATTCAACTTGTCATAAGAATACATCAGTTCATAGTATCTAAAAACCTTTTAAATAATTCAGCACCCCCTTATTCATTTTCAGGCTAAGACCTGGTTCTGGACTGTTTTTGTTCCCTTTTCTCATACAGAGTAGAAAGAAACCTTCTCCTCAAATAGCTCACAGCCTAGTGGGAGAGGCAGGTAAACAGAACATTACTATGTATTGTGATGTATCCTTTAACTATAACAACAACTAGATTTTTGTTCTAATGTATCAACTTTGAGCTAAATGCTTTACTTACATTATTTCTCTGTCACAACATTATTTGGGAAATGACATTTTAAAATTTTTTTTAGCATTTATTCATTTTTTTGAGAGAGAGATACAATGCAAGTGGGAGAGGGGCAGAGAGAGAGAGGGAGACACAGACTCTGAAACAGGCTCCAGGCTCTGAGCTAGCTGTCAGCTAGGCATCAGATCTGTAATGGAGTCAGCCTGATAAACTATCCAATAGACAGTTTACTAATGTGGGAACCCATTTTCCCTTCTTTGACTTATTTTTCATCTTCATGATGAACAATGTTTTCTGCATGGCTACACTTCGCTTCTAGAAAAGTTCCCTCCCTACCCTATCTGTCTAACAGCCATTTTGATTCATTGTAGCCAAACATCTTGTTCCCACCATAGAGGGTGTTTCGATACTTTATCTGGCAAGGTGCATGAAATAGAATTTTTATTTCTAAAATCAGATTTTGTTGTTTTCTTTTCGGTTGCTTCTTCTATTTTCACTCAGAAAAAGTAAACTGTTTCAGAAGGGATGTTAATCTCCACTTAGAGGGAGGTACAAGCCTGCGTGCCACTCTGGGGATGGAGGCTCTCAGAGGAATGACACGAATATGTTTCTGAGGCTCACTGGAGATCATTGCCCTTTTCCCTGGGGAAGCTGGGCAGCTTTATCCCTGCAGTGCTTTCAGCAGCATGGAAATATGTGACCTAAAACTTAACACTTCATCATTCCCAGCTTCCTTATTCACATTTAGTATAATTGCTGAATCCCTTCTAACTGTGCACCAGAGGGAATCCTCAAGTGGCTAGAGAGTTGACGCATCTAAACGGAGAAGAAAACGCAAGGGAAAATCCCAGCAGTCTTTTTTCTCCTCCCAGTGGCTGCCGCAACTGAGAATGTGCTAATTCTTTGACTTTCAGTGCCCTGTAGCTTTCTGTTTTCCTTATTCATCGGAGAAGGTAAGCTTCACTCTTCTTTCTGGTAGGTAGCCTTGCTTCCACAAAAGTGTGTAAAATTCTTAGTAGAACCTAAATTGCTCTGATATTCTCTGCTTCTGTAGAACTTTACCAAAGCATGACCTGTGCATCTCAGGAACAGAGACTCAAGGGAGCACGGGAATACTCACTTCTAGGGGTCATAGATTTTTGCTCTGAGCTACAGGTCTCCAGGGAAGAATATATGATTCAGGGGACCATTATATCCAGTGCAATTCGAATGAAGAGTGTTGAGTTCATTAAAAACTAAGTTAAATTGGGGAATAATCTTAATAGTGGGCTTACATATGCTAATGAATTTTGTTTTAACTTTAAGTATAAAATTATAGACGTTCTTGAAAATGTAGGACCAAAGTCTGGAATTTTGGGTCAGTGGTTCCTTCTTAGAACTTTCCCATAATTAGGCACCTGGATGACTCAGTCAGTTGAGTGTCTGGCTTCAGCTCAGGTCATGATCTCAGGGTTCGTGGGTTCAAGCCCCACGTCGGGCTCTGTGCTGACAGCCAGCTCAGAGCCTGGAGCCTGTCTTTGGATTCTGTGTCTCCCTCTCTCTCTGACCCTCCCCTACTCATGCTGTCTCTCTCTCTCTCTCTCTCTCTCTCTCTCTCTCAAAAATAAATAAAACATTAAAAAAATTTTAATGAAAAATAAAAAATGCATAAGTAAATGCATCAAAGTTCTACTTTCTGTTTTATTGTTTTTGTTTTTGTTTTGTGTTTTGTTTTAACTAGAGCAAATAAGACACCTGCAAAGCAAGGCAGGTTAAAATCCTGTAATGTTTTATTATTTTTCTAGTCTTTTAGAGTAACTGCAACAAATGTAATTCTAAAGCATTTTTTTAGTGATTTGCTCTTATTGGGCAAACCTAATATTTAAATTAGGTTTTATCAAAAACAAAACAGAACAAAACAAGTGACTCTTCCCCATTAATATTTAACTTATTTACATAACATGAATATTATCATTACAATAACAGAACTGACACAAATGGTTTGGGGACCAAACACAACTGACGTTTAGTAAGTAACTCAGTTGGCAGAGACAGTAGTACACAAATGTATTTAATGCATTTAGTAAACTCATATATCTTAAAGTTTATTTATTTTGAGAGAGAGAGAACACACACAAGCATGGGAGGGGCAGAGAGAGGAAGAGGGAAAAATCCCAAACTGTCTCTGCACTGTCAGGCATGGAGCCCAATCCAGGTCTTGAACTCATGAACCATGAACCATGAGATAGTGACCTGAACCAAAATCAGGAGTTTCACACTTAAACTGAGCCACCCAGGTATCCCTGGGAATCAATATATTTCAAAGAAGGAGTGTGTTAAGTTTGTTAAAGGCGAACACAGTTAATTATAATTCTATAACGTTGATATACATTAAATTTGAAAAGAAACAATGTTTTCAAATTCTATCATCTGTGTTGAGAAAATGGGAATTGCTGTGATTATCTTAGTACTACCCTCACACTTCTTAATATGAATAAAGTAAAGCCTTTATAAATGATAGCTTCAGTTAACAGAATCAGTTTTTTCCTGAAACATCAGAGTATTCTCTGTGGCTGGAGCTGTGTCTTCCAAGTATCAATGTGCACTAGACAAATGGGGAGGTTGTTTGGATGTAGATTTGTGGGGCTGGTTCTCCAATATTTTGATTCAATGTGGAGCCAGGATTTTTTTTTTTCAGCCAGAGCTTCAATGATTGTGATTCAGTGGGGACTTTATTTATTTTTTTTATAATTTATTTATTTTTCAGACAGAGAGAAACAGAGCATGAGCAAGGGAGGGGCAGAGAGAGAGGGAGACACAGAATCTGAAGCAGCTCCAGGCTCTGAGCTGTCAGCACAGAGCCCGATGCAGGCCTCAAACCCACGAACCGCGAGATCATGACCTGAGCTAAAGTCGAACACTCAACCGACTGAGCCACCCAGGCACCCCTCAGTGGGCACTTTAAAAAATACTTCGAAGACTCAGCCAAATTACCTGCTACAAGAATTATGTGGTTTTTGTTTGTTGTTTTGTTTTGTTTTTAAATGCTCAGAAGGGTTTTGTCAGTGCAGTATGGAGCTAAGGCACAACATGGTTGAAGCCAAGAGCTTCAGGGGCAGGAGTCTCTCTCCGGGGCTGGGCATACGGGCTCCTTGGCCTGGGTGCTGGACTCAGACCCTAGCCCCAGTACACCTAAGGCCGTGTTGAAGAGGTTGAATGGGAGTGGAGCTCCAAGTGATGAGTCTTGTTTTCAGGCCCAGGCTCTGGAGCAGTTGTACCTGCATCTCTGGCCCAGCCACAGCACGGTCCCTTGATGGTGCTGGGCCCAGGGCCTCTGTCATCTGCTTGAACTTCACGTCGATTCAGCTGTCTGCTGGGCCTTGCTCACCTCCAGCTCCAGCTGCGCCTGGACATAGACCAATTCTAGCCCCCGCACTTTCTGTACCACCAGAGCTCCACCTTCATCTCAGTGGCCAAGGCCTCTCCTTTCAGCTTGGCCTGCAGCATAGAGCCTTCTTCCTGGGTGCACGCAAGGCCTCTGTGTGGGACTCAGCCTCTGCCTTTGTAGTCCCAGTGCTCTCCACAGCGGTGCTCAGAGCTTCCACTTCAAGAATTATGTTTAATTACTTCTCTGAATGTCATTATAAAAGTGCTAGTGTTTTCCTCCCTCCCTCCCTTCCTTCGAACTTCAATAAAGCACGTGGAGTACCCGGTGTATGCCAACACTCTGCAGTTTTTGAGGCTTTACAAATACAGAACAGCTTCTGTCCTCAAGGAGTTCATGGTTTGATCAGTAAGACAAACATGTAGTTCAAGAATTACATTAAACTTAAAGCATTGCCAAAGAATACTTTTTGAGGGTTCAAAAACTGGATACCCTAATCTAGAATGCCAGCCGTTTCCAAGGGTTCTTTATTTTCCTATCACTCACATGACTAACATTGAGAGTTGGCTTTCCTTGGGGGGCCACTTTTTTTTTTAACCCACAAAGAAACTATTTTTGAACACTTAACAGCCATGACTGGAATTGGCCTAACGAGAATAAGAGGCATGTTAAGATTCAGGTGCAAAGCAGCCAGCTAGGCTCACTCACTGGCTCTTACATGTAAACCTTCTGCCTCAAAACCCAAATCCATAATGGGAAAGCATTTAAATGATTCCACTCCTGGGTTTACAGGTTTGTGTATTAACATTTAAAAAGAAAATGTTAAAGCTAGAAAAGTCAAAAGTCTAGTAATATTTTTAAGTTGTTATCTGGGTATAATTCAACTCCTGAAAAATGATAACAGCAACAACGACAAAAAACAATAATAATATTGTTAAATAACTTGCCCAAGAATACTCTGATAATATTCATTGAAAACACTTAAACTGTGCTCGAAAGTTTCCATTAACTATTATTTTAGAAACATTTTGAAAAGCAGGCTGTGATTGAGAAGTGTTTGCTAGTGAAACCTATTAACCAGATGCATTTAAACTGAAATCATTTAACCCATACAGACTTGAATATCAGCCTTTACTGTAATAAGAAGTGGACATAAAGCTTAATGGAAAGAAATGTAGCAGAAATGTATTGAGTCAGTAATTGGAAAAACAGTGTGGAAACATATCTTTACCTTTAAATAAAGTTTTATTATAATTTAGAACATAGTTAATACTGAATATGATAAGAGGTTTTCACTGAAGTAACAGCTGCATCTCTGTCTTCTTTTGTAGGGTTTTGGAAATCCCTCTGGTGAATACTGGCTGGGGAATGAGTTTATTTTTGCCATAACCAGTCAGAGACAGTACACACTAAGAATCGAGCTGATGGACTGGGAAGGAAACCGAGCCTATTCACAGTATGACCGGTTCCACATAGGAAACGAAAAGCAAAACTACAGGTAAGCCCTCCTCCCACATAGGGCCCACCTGCCTTGGGCCGCACCACTTACTAGTTTCAGGGGAAAGGTGTGAAAGAGAGAATGATTAATGTCATCCATCAGAATGAGAATTAGGTCATCTAGGCCTATGATAGGGATACAAAAATCTCAGTAAAGACTTCTTTAAAGGTTTAAATTTGAATTTTTCACAGGTTGTTTTGATGTTGGCTCAGATACTAGAGGATGAGGAATTAAGTCAAGCACAATAGTATTGTTGTAGTTTTTACTGCTGTTATTGTGATGAAATGGGTGCAGTGAATTCATACCTATAAAACTGATGGCAGGGGCGCCTGGGTGGCTCAGTCGGTTAATCGTCTGAGTTCGGCTCAGGTCATGATCTCACAGTTCGTGGGTTTGAGCCCCGCGTTGGGCTCTGTGCTGATAGCTAGCTCAGAGCCTGGACCCTGTTTCAGATTCTGTATCTCCCTGTCTCTCTTTGACCCTCCCCTGTTCATGCTCGCTTGCTTTCTCTCTCTCTCTCTCTCTCAGAAATAAATAAAATATAAAAAAATTTTTAAAAATTGATGGCAGAGAAGTGAGTCAAACTCAGTGGCTTGGAATAAGTACTCCTTTCTATGATTTTCTACTACATTGTATTCGCCTTTCTTAAATTGATATTTTTTCACATTATTTTGAACGTGACAAGGAGTAGGTAAAAGTTTATGTATTTATATGACTTATGTAAAAGGTAAGATGAGGCATAATTTAGAAATTTTTGGTAAATAATGTACACAAATAAAATAAATTCAAATAATGGCATCAATATATATACATCATTGTAGTTGTACAAGTTGACAGATTCTACACTTTCTTGTTAACATCTCTGATTTTTTCAGTGAGCAGCTTGTACAATGTACAAAAACTAACATTAAAAGATGGCTAAGCAAGTAATGCAGAATGATAAATTCATTCCCCAAACCCTTATTGTGTTACTTCTATGTTCTAGGAACCCAACCAGGCACTGGTAATTTTGTAGTCGGTGATGAGATTTCTAGTCTCCCAGTCCAGCTTTGTTAACTAACTAGGTCACTAAATAATTGGCTGGCATTCCTTGAACTGGGAACATATTTCCATTACTTTTATGTCACTACCCATTAATGCACTACTTGGCACATAAGTTCCTTAATAATTGCATGTGACAGAGTTTTGTAATCAGTAAATTAATGTTGCAATGATTTTTAACTCTCCATATTGTAGCCAGGCTACATCAGTCTTGGAAACGTGGTTGTGTACCTTCAAGTGTTGGCACATAGCTTCAGGCACAACGCAATGACAGGACCAAAGCCATCTGCTGTTTTTCCAACCTGTGTGGCCCTCTTGTAGTTCAACTGTTTCTGCTGCTCATATCTTTTCGAAACATACTATTCTTTAAGGGCTTGAATCTACAACACTTTCATGAATATATCTCATTTTATTTTAATGGATTATGTATGGGATTGGATCCTTAGAGATATAAGGATCATTTTTTTTCAACAAACAGCGATGATGTCACCACAACAGAGGGATGAGAAATAGATCTAAAGAGTTTTCATCGTCTCATGTGAGGGTAGTGAGGGTGTACATAATGGCAACTCAGGAAACCAAAGGAGACACATTTATAAAATGCAATGGAGTGTAAGAAGAAATGTTTCCAAGGAGGTCAATATTTGGGGAGTTTTATAACAAGAGAAACCACTGTAAAACATCAGGGGTACTCTTATGTAAATGTTTTGACCTGAAACTTGAAACTAGATGGAACTTGGCTAATGTCAGACAGCTTGACAATAGGACTAGCAAATAATTAGTCTAGTCTTTTTCTAGGCTCCTGAAGAATTTGCTTTGGTTCCTTTCCAAAATGTTTCTCAGTTCTTCGTAGGTAGGTGTGTGTGTGTGTGTGTGTGTGTGTGTGTGTGTGTGTGTACACATACACCTGTGCTTGTGAGGCTGGGGTGGTGTTAAGACAAAGAGTGCAGGGTTAGGAAGACTGTCAGAATCCAAAGCAGGCTTCCAGACATTCCATGGTACGAATGTCATTCTGGCATCTGTGTGAGGAAGGGGTACTTTCTCCTAGAATGCCCCACTGCCCTCATTAATCATTTTCCATTCCTTCGATGTATGATTCTGATCTTCACCCATATGACACAAATCTATGATTGAAAAGCAAGTCTTCCCAGATAGAGTAAGGCATGCATTCTGGGGTCCACTGCTTTCTTTCTTGAGAGAATTGTGAACCTTGGTAGGCATGCTGCTATAATAATTGGTGGCTCTGGCCCTCTCTCTAGCCAGAACCCAGCAGAAAATAAGTCTGTAACCACTTTCTCATGCAATTCAATGTAAGATTCATATTGACATCAAATGGGAAATTAGAATTCATTAAAACATAATGCCTATTCTGGTGAAAGCTTACTTAAAATAAGCACACTATAAAATGGTCTTATTTACTCTTTCAAAGAAAATCAGAAGCTTAAAAAGGGAGTATACCCTTGTGACGCCCCTCCCCACCTGTATCATCACTCGCTCAAGCCCAGTAACACCAGGTGCGGCCTGAAGTTAGAGCCCCAGATGTCCAGCTTTGCCTCTGCTTCTCCATTTATTTCTCTTCCTTCTGAGTTAAGAAGGAATTTCTCATTGTGATTAATTCATTAAAAGGATTAACACTAGCATTGTATAGTGTTTTATAATTTATGAAATGGTTTTTAACACTTTAAGTATTCAATCTTCACAATCAATTTTTGAAGTAGGTATTACTAGACACAGTTTTAATATGAAGAAAATGAGACTTTGGTCAACTGACCTGCTCAAACTCAAGTAAATATCAACTAAAAACAGAACTATGGAATTCATATTGGGATTTTGGTTTCCATTTTTAAAGTTTCTATATTTTTTCTTCCTCCAAATTAAATTCAGATGATTTTTTTTGAGAGTCATTTTTTTAAAGTATTCTATCTTAACAAATTTTATTTTGGAAATTCTTATAATAGTTGTGGTCATAATGTATAAATCTAATTTAAAAAAATTTTTCTCATGCTCTGGATACAAACTGATAAAAGTAAGTGTTGTTGAACAGATAGATAAGCTTACAAATGTACATAGAATACACATACTTTCCTTTTATTCTCTAAGGAAACTCCAAATGATTTTCTCAGATAGAAAATAAAATCTATGGAACCCAAGAGAATATATATAAGGAAAAAATGTGAGAGTGTCATGATAAAAACATCATGTAAAATAACACACAACTAATGTGAAATTATTAAATACTTTTTCTAGAGAGGTAGTATTATTCAGGTCCTCATCATCTAACACCCAAACTATTGTACAGATTTCCTGCCTCCAATCTTGATGCTCTCAAATACATCATCCACACTCTTGTTGGGATGGTTTTTCTGAATGATAATCTGACTTTGGTTTCTTCCCTCCTTCATATATTTCAACAATGTTCAAATATCTACAGATTAAAGTCACTAATACACTTTCCCGACAACTGTCAGCTAACACTAATACACCCTCCCAACAACCTCACCTGACCAGATACTCCTCATGACGATTATGTTCCAGAAACTACTTTCAATTTCCCTAAACCTTCTTTGTCTTTGGTTATGTTAGACTGGTACCCACACATATGAACTTGACTTTAGATACATCTTATAAATCCTTAAGATTCTCCCTTATTTCAGGAAGTTTTCACCGATACCTATTATGGTATGTGTTGTGATGAACCCATCTCTAGCCTCCCTTCAAAACTATAGCGCTCCTTCTTTCACCTTCTGGGAATGTTGCTGGTTTACAGCCTATAGCCACGGTCCCCTGCCTGAGCACTGCTTGTGGCTGAAGAAAGTCACATCACCCAAAATCACACTGTCCTGCAGACAGATTGCATCCAATGACTAGTCATTATAGGAATAGATAAAGAACCCCTTGCCCCTGCTTGGGACAATTCTGAAGGGCCATCCCCGGTCCAGAATTCCACTTGGGATTAGCCAAGCTCTTTACTGTAATTGTGAATGAAACCATCCTCTCTCTGTTCAGTGTTGCTTTCTTCACTCTGCCATAAGCATTGATCCTGGGAGCCTTTCTCTATAAATATCCCTACACTGATTTCCCAGAGAAATGCATCACCCTCACTCTCAGGCCAGTTTGGATGTTTTGTGCTCCTATCGATCCATAATGGGTCTATGAAGAACTATCCAGTATCCACATTCTATTATAAGTCATTAACAAGTATTTATTAAATAATTGTGTTTGTTTCCCTTTTCTACTATTCCTAAGTTTCTTTAAAAAAATTTTTTTAATGTTTTATTTATTTTTGAGACAGAGAGAGGGACAGCGTGAGCAGGGGAGGGTCAGAGAGAGAGGGAGATACAGAATCGAAACTGGCTCCAGGCTCTGAGCTAGCTGTCAGCCAAACCCACGAACTGTGAGATCATGACCTGAGCCGAAGTCAGATGCCTCACTGACTGAGCCACCCAGGCGCCCCTAAGCTTCTTGGTAATAGGAACCATTTTCATCAAAATTCAAGATATGTACCTAAGTTAGCCAAAATGTTAAGTGATAGTTAATAGCTAATATTTGGTGAGCAGATAATATGCATCAGACACGTGGTTTTCACTTGAGAAAATAGGTATTTTACAAGGTCACAGGTAGTAATATGAGTAGAAGTTACTTGAGGTTCGATCTCATAAGTGTCCACCATATGGCCATCCCTCAATAAAGGGAAATTCAGAAGTCAATTTCTAGAACTAAGGACACTCAAAGCACGTTCTAACAGATAAAACTTGTTTCTTCTGATTCTGTTTTGGTCTTTAATAATTTGAATGTCCATGGGCATTATCTTATCTCTTACTCTCAATTTTCTGTCCTGTAAAGTTTTTATAAAGTTACTTCCAGCTCAAAAATAATTTTATAGAATATAATTCCTTTTAAGTATATTATTTCTTTTTTATTTTATGTCCATTTGTTTCTTTGATAAATTTGGTGTCTCT